TGTTTAATATTTATAGCACCATTAGTTGCTATATGTCAAACTAAGCGTGAATCATGTGTAGAAGTTTGAATCAGTGCTCTGTGTGAGTGTACTGTTCTGTTCCAATGATGTACTGCAGCTCAACCTTGAAGGGAAAAGATATTGCCTATGTTTTATCTAATGGCATATTTTCAAGGGTTGTTTAGGAATATAACAGGCACGTGACCATGCCAAAGGAACAGTCGCCAGGAGAATCAGCAGCTGCCCAGATGAGAAGTGCCCGAACAGGATTTGTGACTCACCTACAACCCTTAAGATAGTTGCTTACGAATGGAACTTAGTATCTCCAAGAAACTGTCTTTAGATAACCACATTTGTGTAAAGAAAAGAACACTGTGTGGAAGTGTGGAGAACTCTGTCTTCAGTAATATAGCTGTCTTCAGTAAATTCTCTGACAACTGAGTGAACTTCAAATTTTACTCCTGGACTTCATTGAGAATATTGGTCTCTCTGTGGGGATTAACTGTAATTTCCCTACAACTCATTCTCTCTATGGTTATGGATATTTATCTTATGGGTGTGTTTAAAACAGTAGCATCAACCCTCCTGTGTAATGGTGAGGCCAGGTTTCCTTTAATATGAATGAATCCACAAAATTGGATTATCAAGACACCAAACTAACAAGCTTGAGAATCCTTCTATAACTACAAAATGTTGCTATGATGAAGCTGTTTTATTTTTGATACTTGTGGTATTCCTAATATATTTTTGAAATGCTTAACAGGGGAATGACAGACGCAGACAAACAAGCAATCGAGTACTGCTTTTCAAACAACAATTTGTCGTGCATCAAGGAAATCAAATCTCAAGTGGAGTGCATTGTTTTATACATTTTTATTTCTTTAGCCTCTGTTCTTACTGTGTTTCTGAATCTGCTGGTGATCATCTCCATCTCTCATTTCAAGCAGCTGCACACTCCAACCAACCTGCTCATTCTCTCTCTGGCTGTGGCCGACCTACTTGTTGGACTGATTGTTATACCACTGATGGGAATCAGATATATTGAGACATGTTGGTACTTTGGAGAGACATTTTGTTCTTTGTTTCCATTTATCCTTTATACTGTTGTTTCAGCATCTCTTGGTAATTTAGTTTTCATATCTATAGATCGTTACATTGCTGTGAAAGATCCTCTGCAATATTCAACAAGGGTCACAACCAACAAAGCTGTTTTTTGTATCATTTTAAACTGGCTATGTTCAAGCATATATTCAGTTATCATGCTATACGATGCTATCTTCAGTACAGAAACCCTAATAACATGTTACGGGGACTGTATTGTTACTGTTAAGTTTGAGTATGTTCTCACAGACCTCATTGTTTCATTAGTGGCCCCTTGTTCAGTAATCATATCTTTATATGGGCAGATCTTCTGTGTAGCAAAATATCAAGCTCGGCTTATAAACTCTGTCACAAATGTCAGCAAGTCAGAAAAAAAGGCAGCAAAAACACTGGGGATTGTGATAGCAGTTTATCTTCTGTGTTGGATACCATATTACATGGTCTCTCTTTTTCCAGGATACGATTCAAATGAATCAGCTGTAATGAATATTATGTGTTGGATTATGTACTTGAATTCTTGCATGAATCCTCTTATCTATGCATTATTTTATCAATGGTTTAGAACATCAGCTAAACACATTCTGTCTCTGAAAATATTTGAACCATCTTCAGAATATTTAAGTCTGTTCCCAGAGGTAAATGATCAGTAATCTTTAATGTTAAAACTGATTTCAATATGTATTTTGCTGGCCAGACTGTAGTAATTCACTTTATGTACTGCAACATTTATCAACAAAACCTCCTGCTGTTTGATAGCACTTTTAAAGACAGCCCACTGTAAAACTGCAGCAGATACAACTGTGTCAGGAAATAAATAAGATATAAATAACTGTAATACAAACTATTACTCCATGTGTCTCCTGTTCCCTTGATGATATGGTTTCCTCTGAATCCCAAAACATACAGAACATAAAAAGTGGGGGAAAATTTTTTTATTCCATTATATTCCTGAGACCTATTAAAAAGGTTCAGCATTCAAATCTTTCTACATCTTTATTGTTACAACATTACTCAGATATTTAAAAAAAATAAAAAATAAATAACGATAATAAAAATCAGCTGTGTGCAAGATACAAGCAACAAAAAAAAACTTAATAAGTAAATATTTATTTAAAAAAATTCACATTTACTTTAGTTTTCTGTTTGAAACTTACAACGTATTCTAATGATTCTATATACAGTGGTGTGAACAAGTGTTGGCCCCCTTTCTGATTTCTTATTTTTTTGCATGTTTGTCACACTTTAATGTTTCAGATCATCAAACAAATTTAAGTTATCTTTGACTAATATTTAAATTTGTTTGATGATCTTAAACATTAAAGTGTGACAAACATGCAAAAAAAATAAGAAATCAGGAAGGGGGCCAACACTTTTTCACACCACTGTATAAGCATCAAAATGTAGAAAATTTCTTCACTATAAATAATCAGATTAATACTGCTTCAATCAACAATTATGGGAATACTGTGGCAGTCTGTGGTGCTGTAACCAAATTCGCCCAGAGCAATGTGGCAATGACATCTTTTGTACAACCAGAAGTACAAGATTTGTAATCTGCCATCTCCTTCACTAGTGACTATCCTGAGCAGCAAAAGAGAGGAAAATTAAAAAGAATTTTAAAAAATGAAGAGAGACAGAGAGATAGCAGGCCCAGGCAAAAGATACACTATAATATTACCATTTGCTTACTAGGATGTTGTTTGCAAATTTTTCCAAAATGCATGGCTATTAAAAACTGCCCAACAGTGGAAAAATAATCTGTTTGCTTCCAAATGGTGTAATTATGACATCTACCAGCAGGAGCTAACAGGGCTACCCTCACGCAAAGAAAATATATTTTCTAATATATGAATGAACAATATATAAAATGATATAACGGTATATTAGAAAATATACAGAATAATATTTTGTGTAAATATATTACAATATATTGAATAATATAAGGGATTGCCGCTTTCATTTATTGAAAAATGTGACAGTATATTTACTTATATATCACAATGTAATTTTATATTCAGTAATACACTTTATAATATATAGATGTACATGTGATAAGATATGGTACTGCATATGTAGAAATATAATGAACATATATTTACTCATGCAGTATATACACACACATATTGAAATATATATTTATTATGTTTAACAATAATTTACAATATACATTTTGTTTTTAATATAGCTAGTTTACAATAGCATAAGCACACCAACTCATACTATAGCACTTAGTGAACAGACTATCACTGTGCTGAAAAGTGCACATCCATTACTTTTAAATAAAGTAATATATAGTCTTATTGGTGTTTGGCCAATCGTCATCCTAACCACAGGCTATACTCTTCAGCACAATGGTAACCCCACAAACTTACACATACCAGAAAACCCTTTTAAATTCAAAAACAATACAACATTAAACACCAACATATCTCCCCCTATAATAATATTGAGCAAAAACACATGAAATAACACTTAATGTTAAAATGTTTACTCTCCAGTCAGAAGCAAAGCATGCATTGGAACTAGAAGTCAGCTGTAACTCATTCAGTGAATGTGTGTGTATATGTGTGTGCATGTATTCACATATATATGGCAACATGTATGTGCAATATATACTCAAAGGATCAAACATTAAATCTTCATTTCTAAATATATTTTTACAGTATGTATCAGTATATAGCCATACATTGTCAATGCATATATTGCTGTATATTGAAAAATATAAGCACTAGTTTCCCATATTGATTTGCGATGGCGCTGACGCTGATGACTGCCTCCATGGCGTGCTCTGCAGTTGTTTTTATGTTTTTGTTAGTTTGTCCTGTCCTTAGGTTATTTCCCTGGTACTTCCTTCGCCAGCTGAGGAAGTTCAGCCTGTCACAGGAGGTGCTGAAACAGTTCTACTCCGCCATCATTGAATCTGTCCTCTGCACTTCTATAACTGTCTGGTTCAGCTCAGCTACCAAATCTGACCTCAGAAGAGTACAGAGGGTAGTCCGGACTGCTGAGCGAATCATTGGTACAACCCTCCCTTCTCTCCAAGAACTGTACTCATCCAGAGTGAGCAAAAGGGCTGGCAAAATCACTCTGGACCTCTCACATCCAGCACACTCCCTCTTTGAACTGTTGCCATCTGGTCGACGCTACAGAGCTCTGAGCACCAGAATTGGATATCTTTATGAAAGTCTTTAAAGACAGAAAATTAAAAAATATCACAGTACAAATATTTTCTAGTATTCTCAAGAATAATACGAGGAATAAAATCAGATAAAGCTAATGTGGGGAGACAAAGAAAGTTTCAGAGAGTGCAATTCATATTCATGGCTATATAACTGCAGCTAAAAATTTATATTTGCTTAGTATACCGTTTATGATGTTCATTGAGAGAATGACATTCACTGACTTTAACATTCCAGTCTTGATTTCCAAACAACATTATCCATCAGTGAGCATACTGATTCAAATATTCGAAGGAGTTATGTTTAAATTATATTTTATAGCTCTTAAAATAAAGCAAAGAGGATTCAGATATTAGGTCAGCATACAAGTTCCACGTTATAATTTTTGACATGGTAGACGAGATTACTGTTTTGTTTTGTTTTTTATATATATTTTTTTCAACATACAAGGTCCATGTTAAAAATTTTAATATGGTCAAGAGAAAACAACTGTTTTCTGTTAAATACAAGAATCCAGCAGATAACGGTCACAATGATTCCTAATGTCATGGTCGATTTGCTCTCAGATTTCTTCCTCACCTAACTTTCCTTTACACATTCACCAACCTACATCAAGGAGTTTATAACATGCATTTGCTGATGTACAATAAATAATGCCTTCAAATACAAAGTAATATTCACTGTACACAGAAAAATATATCAGATCAGTGACTGAATTGATCATTTATCCTCTGGGAAAAGACTGAAGTATTCAGATGATGGTTTAAATATTTTTAGAGTCACAATGTATATAGCTGATATTCTAAACCATTTATAAAACAGTGCATAGATAAGCGGATTCATACAGGAATTCATGTACAAAATCCAGCATGTTACATTAAGTTCAACCGATTCTGTTGACTCATTTCCTTCAATAAGGATGACTACATAGTAAGGTATCCAACACATGAAGAAAATGGCAACAACAATCCCCAGAGTTTTTCCTGCCTTCCTTTGTGATCTGCTGACACCTGTGACAGAATTTACAACCTTGGCCTGGTATTTTACAACACAGAAGATTTTCACATATATAGACATGATTACAGAAGAAGGGGCAACGAAAGTGACTATGAGGTCTGTGACAACATGTTCAAACTTAAAAGATACTCTACAGTCTCCATAACACCTGTCATGTGCCTCTGGGTAGAACATAGTATCGTGTAAGATAATGACAGAATATATGCCACAACACAACCAATTTATAATAATACAAAAAACAACTTTATCAGCCGTGACCCTCACTGCGTATCTCAAAGGGTCACTCACAGCAATGTAACGATCTACAGATATAAAAAACAAATTACCAAGAGATGCCGTAACAACCATAAAAATAATAAATAAAAAAAGAGAACAAAATGTCTCTCCAAAATACCAGCATGATTCTATGAATCTGATGCCCATTAACGGTATAACAATCAGTCCCACGATCAGGTCGGCCACAGCCAGAGAGAGACTGAGCAGGTTGGTTGGAGTGTGGAGCTGCTTGAAGTGAGAGATGGAGATGATCACCAGCAGGTTCAGAAACACAGTGAACACTGATAATAAAAAAATGAACATGTACAAAATGACATACTCCACTTCATGTTTGATTTCTTTGAAACATGACAAATTGTTGTTTGGAAAGCAATATTGGATTTCTTGACTGTTGTCCTCCATGATGCTCTGGTCAAACATTTTCACAATTGATTATATCCTTTGTAGCCTGCCCCTGTTGTTTACGGTGTTCCTCAAAGCTGCCACTTCAAAGCTGTGGTACAATATTTCAGCTGTCAGTTCGATTTTCTACTTTCTATCACAGATTAGACTCTAATTTATATGAAGAGAAAACAGGGACATCCCATTAAATGTGAGGTTGGATTATACTGCATTAAACCCACCTACTAGATAAATATTCAAAGCATTCAGTGATGAATTGGATGGTGTCTCATATAATATTTGTGAGTGTGCAAATATTTCATAAAATACAAACACTGAAATTTAATCTTCATTTTTGTCCATAAGGCTTTTAAAGGACTCGCATATTCTCATCTTTATGACCTTCTGAATATAAAACACTTGGCAGATGACTAAGGTCTTTGGATCAGAGACTTTTATTGGCCCCCAGGTCTAGACTAAAGACTAAGAGTGTCCAGCTTTTTCTTGGTTCCAAATTGTGGAACAGTTTACCCAGTCATTAGAACAATTTCATCATAATCAGTTTTTAAAGCAAAGCTATAAACCAGGTGTCACCAAACTCGATGTCCTGCAGAGTTTAGCTCCAATTTCCTCAACACACCTGCCTGGAAGTTTCAAGTATACCTAGTAAGACCTTGATTAGCTAGTTCAGGTGTGTTTGATTAAGCCGGGCATACATGGTGCGATTTTTGCTGTCGTACGAGCTCGTACACGATTTTTTTCCCTTTGGGAGAAATTACATGGAAATCGTTGATATTCGTATGGTCGTGGCTCGTATTGTGTGAGAGGTATTTACAAGCCGAGTCGAGCGCCTCACGAGCTCCCAATCATTTTTAAACATGTAGAAAATGTTTGGGAGCTGTTGCCTTGAATTTGTGAGGTGTGCACAGTTGAATGGGCTGATTTGTTGAGCTATCTGAAGCTGATCAATCAGGAGCTGAGGAAACCCAGAGAAGAAGAAAGATGATGGCAGCGCCACGGTGAATTTGGACTATTGAAAAGATAACTTTCTGAACTTTTTTTTTTTAATTAATGCTCAAAAACAGTATACAAACAGTAATACAACCACCAACAAATAAAAATGATAGACGATGACAACAAAAGAAAAGAAAAGAAAAGAAAAAAGAAAAGAAAAAGGGGGTGTTTAATACATTACAAACTGGGAAAAAATAAATAAATTTGAGACTTCCATGTCATTTAAGACAGGAAAAGAGTTACAAACAGATAAAGCTTTTAAAGCTTTTTTGTTCTTAGACAATTGGATCAATGAAAGATTGCTCAAATTCTTTCATGAAAACAAGAGAGATCTGGAGTAACTCGCTGAACTTTGGCAGAAACAGTGAGCGCTGTATGATGTCATGCAGTGTGTACCATGAGTCGTCTGAGATGATATTTTACAGCGGATCGCTCAAGAGCTACAGTTATCAGGTGAGATGTAGTATAAGTAGCTACTTATTGTTAGCTATAGTGTGTAATAGGCTTTATAATTCACACACACTGACCAGACGTCTCGGTTTCCGGGTGCTGAAAAAGAACCTATGTCTCGTATCAATATTATGCAATTATATGAGAGAGAGCGAGAGAGAGAGGGAGAGAGAGAGAGCAGTTTTATTTAAATGTACTACATATAGGTTACACAGTTTATTATACACTGCCCTTCTCTCAACTCAGTTCAATACATGTCATTATATCAGGGAACTTCATGCGATTGCTTCGGAATTTGGCGGGTCGTAAAAATCATGTCGTATATCACTGCGTCCATACGATTTTCAGATAAAATCACTTGTGACATGTGTGTGGACATACGATCCTCCAACCGTCAGAATTCGCACTGTGTATGCCCGGCTTTAGGGTTGGAGCTAAACTCTGCATAACACCGGCCCTCCAGGACCGAGTTTGGTGACCCCTGCTATAAACCTTTCTTTTTAAATCTTCAGTTTATCTGTGGCTGGTGAAAGTTTTAAAGTGCCCCTATAATGCCATTTTTAAGGTTCCTAATATTGTTTTGGGATTCTCCTACAACAGGTTTACATGCATGTAAGGTCAAAAAATACTTTAGTTTTCTCATAATATACATTTAATTTCACAGAATTTCTCAATGATTCGTAAACGATTTGTAAGAAGCAGTTTTAAGATTCAGTCTCTCTAAACTCCTCCTTTCTATGAGCCTACTCTGCTCTGATTGGTCAGATGCCCAGTCCTTTGTTTTTGGTCTACAGCGTACAGCGCATATCAGAAACGAAATGGCCACTGCCATAACTTAATGACAGCTCCAGAGAGAATGTATAGAGAGAAAAGATTGTTTTGATTTTACCTTATAAATTCGAGCCTGAGTCCAGTGATGAAACGTCTACTTGATCAACCAGACATTGATTCACAAGCACGACTGGAGCAGGATGTTTCTCAGTGGTAAGTGTCAACTTAGTTTGTGGTAGTTATAAGACGTGATTGCAGCATCATTGTTATAATTTATTTAGGTGCATGTGTGGGAACTGTATCAGAATGCCAAGCAAAGGTGAAAACCTCTGCTGCCATGAAGTACGACAGGTAGTATTGTGTTTCTGCTTTAGTTGAGCATTAGATGCATCTTTTATAAAGAATTAAGTGTATTTTGAACGATCTATAGAAAATATAAACATCTATTATTTATCATACATGCTGTGATTCAGTGGAGCAATCTGGTCCAAATAAATTGGACACTGAATTGACCCATCTTTCAAGAGTAAGTGTTTTCTGAATCCCACGTTGAACTCATGACTAGAGAAGAAGTCGTCAGTAAAATGAAGGGAATACAAAAAAGATTGGGATTGTACTGCTGTGGTATCATTAAAAAAAATGAATGGCAACCACTGATTCTTTGCAGCCTCATCATTCGGAAGTGGGATGTAGCCATCATGGAAGTGGGATTCGAATTCCTGATGACTCTTTTAGATGATTCAGAGTCTATTCTTGTTTTTGAGAGAGAGAGACACTAACTTTATTTACCATGCACTGTCGGCTTCACAACTTAGTAGATAGTTTACATTCACATGCAGCTACATTACACACTACATGAAAAGGCAATATTCGAAATGGCATAATAGGGGCACTTTAATTGCATGTGTTTATGTTATGCCTTTTGTACTATTTATACAATTTTACTTGATGTTGTAATTTGAGACTTTGATATACCATAATAAAGGGAGTAGCAATAATCCAGCTGAGATGTAATAAAAGCATGGATCACAATGTCCAAAGACTTCTCAGAGAGAAACGGCTTAATTCTTGCAAGTGGAGATGAAATAAGCTAGAACCAATCACAGAGCTAATATGTTTATTGAACTTTGAATTGTCAAACTCCACACCTTAAGAAGGGGAAAAAAGGTTGAAGAAATCCAAGATATGTTGAAGACAATAACCTCTGTTTTATCTCTATTTAGAAAGAGAAGGTTTTTAGGAAGCCAACATTTAACCTCATCCAAACAGGCAAACTGATAATTTAAGGCAATTTGATTCTTCTGAGCCACAGGCAGGTAAATTTGTGTATCATCAGTAATGCAATGATAGGAAACACCATGTTTCCTAAAGATAGAAACCAGGGGTAGCATATATAGCAAAAAAGGAGCTGGTGCTTAAACAGAACCCCGTGGCACTCCGCAAGCCAGATTTTCTACAGAAGAGGTGACGTTTCCTATTATAATTAAAATATACTCCATGCCCAAGAGGGTTAAAGCAGTACTGGAAAATAATGGTGGCCACACAAAATATTGAAACTTTGGGCCCAATTTGGACATTTTCACTTAGGGGTGTACTCACTTTTGTGGCCAGCGGTTTAGACATTAATGGCTGTGCTGTCGAAGCTTTTCGGTTCCCTTCAAAGATACATTCATATAGAAAAAAAGCCACCCTGCGTTTTGATTTTGAAACGTGCAGTGCTCATATTTATTCAACGAACTCAAAGCCTTTTGGAAAATCTATTTGTGCCGGTCAGTTTTGATACTGTGGCAGGCCGGCACAAATAAATCAATGTGTGGGAAACACATACATACATATACAGTGGAGATCAAGAGTAGAGAACAATTATGAACACTTGATTTTTTCAGCAATAATGTAATCTTCATCGTTCAAAATTGGAAGTAATTTTAGTTGTGGCTATACCATGCTAGTAGAATACCGTTTTACAAAATAACCAAGGCACTTCAACAAAAACCCTTTATTTTGTGGGAAACAAAGTGCTCAATATTACATAACAGCAATGACTGTAGTACGAAGAAAGGTTACAAATAAAATTTCTGAAGGTTACAGCAGTCAAAAATGAGTAGGAAGTGTACAGGCCCTTGCTTTGAATGACTTCAGCACATCTGCAGCCACAGGACATCGCTAGTCTCTAACACAGCTCTGGTGTGATCTTGGTCCACTGTTCTTCCAGTCTCTTCCACAGTTTGTTGACTGTAGTGGGATTCTTAGCCATAACTTTGTCTCCAAGGACTTTCCATAGATTTTCGATTGGGTTTAGATCAGGACTCTGGGCCGGCCATTTCATTATTTCGATGTTTTCAGCTTCAAGGAACTGCTTTACCCATTTTGCTGTGTGACAGGGGGCATTGTCCTGCATGAATATTGCTGGCTGATTGGGTGATGAACACAGGGAAGAAACCGTATGTTGCCGCAGGAGGTTCTGATAAACATTTGCATTCACTCTGCCATGTAGCTGTATAAGAGGCCCAACGTCTTCTGCAGAAAACATCCCCCAAACCATGACACTTACTCCTCCACCTTTCACTGACTTCTTTACACACTTTGGGTTCAGTCTTTCCTTAGTTTGACGATGAACATATGGCGCTTTTCCACTGCATGGTACGGCACGGTACGGCTCGGTACAGTTCACTTATGGGTGGTTTTCCACTGGGTACAGTACCTGGTACCTGGTACTTTTTTTAGTACCACCTCGGTTGGGGTTCTAAGTGAACCGTACCGTTACCAAAATGTGACGTGTAAACTCT